CATTGGTGACTTTGGCAGCGCCATCTAAAGTCAACCGCTGCAGCTCCTCTGCCGCGTTTGCAGTCGCCTGCTCGATAGGACCAGGTTCTTCCTCTGCTCTTACCTCCTCGGCTGCTTGCTCCGCTCTAATCCAAACATATTTTAAAGTAGTCAGAACCTTTGTTCTCGTCTTTAACTCTAAAAGAAAGAGTTTAGATCCATCGAGTCCTAAAGACCTTGTAAGCAACAAGAAATGTTCATCCCAAGAAACGTCGTAGCAGCCATAGAAATTGGCATAAGCGGGAAGCAAGTTAGTGATTATTCCTTACATTTGTACATGTAATACTGTATGTATAAGTATTGTTTACCTTTTAAGAGCTTCTTGCCTTCGTTTAATACGCAAGGCTCTTCCAGCTTTACGTTCATTAGGATCCTGTGACGTGACTTGTGGTTCTTTAGGTGCCAGTACATCTTCTTCATCATCAAACCCTCTAAAGTTTCCAGCCATTATAGAATATTATTTACAAAAGATATCCACTTTACTACACGTAAAAAAATCAAAACGTTTATTTGATGTTTAATTGTTGTTATGGCAATTTTGATAGATTATAAAATATCATTTAACAATAGTTACGACCTTCATTCAGACGGACGCCGAATCTTTTCAAAAAAAACTTCATATTACGCCCGTGATCCAGAGGGGTAAGCAGTAAAATTACCAAACTTGTTAAAATCTCGTGTACATTTTTTTTTATTTCAACCAGAACCTAATTTTAGGTCTCAGTATTCCCGATATTTTTCAAACTTTCGCAGATTGCCTACATTTTTCAATCTCTCTCTTGCCAGTTGGCGGTTGTTAGTGGTGAGGGCTGGCGTCCCAGATATGACCCTCTGCAAATCTCCACGAGGGTAATATCTGAACAATATTTGAATCTCTTTCCATTCTTTTTGAAAAACAAAGATAGCAAGTGTTCTTACACATATGTTGCAAAAAATTGGTGGTCTGTTATCATAACACAAGCTTTCCTATCATCACCTCACTATACGTCACCACCGAGGGTCTAGGAGCCTACCCTAAGTTAAGGGTGATTAGGCTATAGTCAACCACGCTGGCCAAGTGTGGGTTGGTTGACTTCACGCATATTTTTGAATTTCTTCTCAGATATGTGCAGGTTGCATCACGATGTTTTCCTTCACCGTAAGAATGTTGGATAAATGTACATATGTAAATCGGAAGTCGTAAGTTTTCCTAAACTGTAGTCATTTTCATTTGCAATATTATTTAAAACAATGTATAAACAAACAATGAAACAAGGTGGGATCTTTATAATTTTTTTATTATTACTTATTTTACTTTTTGCTGTTAAGGATGATACCATCGTATTTCTGTTGGAACCACTTCATGGCGTCCTCCTTCGTGAGGCGATGGGGGAAACCAACCTTGCCGGTTTTGCGTCTTCTATGAGCAACATTGAAACCTTAAACAAAAAACATAAAAAAATAAGGACATGATAAACCACAATGGCAAAATATATGCACAAGGTAAGTGTTGAAATGTTAAGCAAATATTTCTACGACTGAAAAGTTACATTTAAATAACATGTTTTTGAGCTTATGCAAATACACTTCATAAACTAACATAATGAAGTTTAAATACCTTCAAAACTAATTATCTACAACACCAGAGGAATTATGTATGCCTACATTTATAAACACTTGTGTGCTAGCTTGGTGGCATTGAATGTGTTAAATTATCGACTATAATTATTACTTAATATTAACAAAATTGTTCCCCAGGCCTCAATGAGAGCAGTGAATCTGTCACAACCCTCAATGAGATAAGATTAATATTGCACAAGTATTACAGAGTAAAAGTTAAAGAATTTTCACTCCTGAACAAATGTGCTAAACATTTTAATAGCATACTATGTTTCAAACTTCTCATAAACATGCTTGTAAAATTCTTTTACATCATAAACATTATTTTTGTAAAATAACTGTTGCATTACAACATTACTCAAATTTTAATTAACAAAGATCAATTTTATTTTATGAAACACCAAAAAACATTTTGACACACTATTTAACTTTTGACATGTGCACTATGTACAAATTAAAAAGAAAAATACATACCTGGCCTTCCTAGAACGACGTAGAAGTCAAGACCGTAGATACCAATTGAAGGATCATACTTGATACCCAAGTCAATGTGTTCTTGAATACCAAAACCAAAGTTGCCAGTGGCGGAGAAGTTGTCCCTTCTCAATTCATATTCCCTTACCTAGAAAAAGAGATAATTTAGATTTAATTCCTTTTGAATACTACTGAAAATGTCATCATTGCAGTTTTCTACAAAGAAAAACTGATATGTTTATGAAAATTTTTATAGCAGTGTAAACTAAGATGAGCAAAGAAATATCATAATTAATTCTTACATCATAAATAATTTTTGTATAGCAATGCAAAATTTTTATTTTTATTTTAGAAAATGTCATTTCCATTAGTATTTTGAGTAGTAAGAAAAATAGTACTCAAAAGTTGCAATATAAAATTTTACTATTGCATGAATTTACAAAGGAAAACATATTGAATGATGATCCTTGAACAATTCATGCTATAAGATTAACATTATGATATAATATACAAACAGTAACAAAAAAATCTATAGGCATACACTCAATAAATTCTCTATATTAGTGATTAAAAACTCTGTCAAAAGTTTCAGTACTTACTTTCAGGCCCCTTTCAAGGATTTCCTCAGCTTTGGCACCACGGACTGTGCAATGAACAGCAATCTTTTCATTACGACGGATACCAAAAGATCTCACAGTGTACCTCGCTTTGGAGAACACTGGCTGTTGACCAGTAAGCTGTTCCAACACCTAAATAGACAGGTATGATTATACTTATAATTCGTTGTTATCAAATGTGGTTGTAGAAATCACTTACAAATGTTATTTCTGTTAGTATTCTGAGAAGTAAAACATAGTTCCCAGAAGTTGCAAATTCAAAATATTCATATAGCACATTTATACTCAGAAACATAACTTTTATATTTCTTTTTATAGATAACTAGTGCATCTTAAACATTGTTTCATATTTACACTTCGAGATTTTGATTGTTACATTTACGCATCTAACAAGTAATTATAGAAGTAAATTATTAACAAACCTTAGCAGCACGTGTCAGTCTGTCTCCAGACTCTCCTACACAGATGTTCAGGCATAACTTCCTGATATGAAGATTTCTCATAACATTTTTGGAGTTGTCTTTAGGAGGTTTCTTCTCCTTTTTATCTTTCTTAGGTGCGGGCGGTGGTACACGCTGAAAACCATTTCAATAATGATGATTCAATAACACTTGACATATTATAAATACTAACATTTGAAACATCGAGTTAGGTTATAACAACACAACACTGTGTAAAATACCAGAACACCATAAATAAATTATTTATAACTTGAAGAATAAAATATTTCACATATTGCGCCACAAATAAAGAGTTTATTCATTGGAAAATCTACGATTCAAATCGATTTTAAATTCCGGTAAATGAAAATCAACCTACCGCCATGATCACAATTTTCTAAAAGAAATGAAGTTTGAAGGGACTGTGTTGCCATAAAGAACTTTAAAATTAGTTCTACATGAACCAAAATTTCCTACAGAAAAGATTTATTAAGTTAAACTGTTGTAGCTCATTAAATAAATTTATCGTAAAAACTTGGAATTTATTCAAAATTAGTGAATTAAAGTAGGGAGAGCTAATATCTACAATAGGTACTTTGCCAAATATGTCGCAAATTTCATAAATCGTTTTTGATATTTGGAAAATTTATTGATTAATTAAGTTATTTAGCATAGTAATTTTAACTAGATGTTGTTTTTGGGGCTGTAATTTTGTCCCATCTGAAAATACAAATTTTATTATTTCCAATTTATTACCTAAGAGTTAGGGAATTCTACGCGATGAAAACACTGAATTGAAACGTCAACGGATAAACAAAAAACAAATCCACAAACAATCCACAACGAACAGAAACATAGCATAGACTAAAAATATCATTATATGCATTTAATCAAAATATCTTAAAAGTTGAAAGGATATTAAATAAATATTGGAACGAATTATTTATTGCAATCACAGTTCATTTATCATTATGTTACTTACATTGTATTACTAGTACAACCTATAAACAGTTACTTGTTTTAATAAAAATCGTGCAGTTATTTTTAACTAAAAGATGGCGTTCTTACTAATATAACAATTTTGTTTCCGCGCGAGTATTTAAGTTCATTTCCCATTAAGCATCCGATCACCATGGCACTAAAATCTATCTAGTATCAAGAAAACACATAGATGTACTAAACACCTTAAAAACGATGTTCCTAGCAACTATGCGTACGTTTCTGCTATAACATAGGCAACTTATATTGAAACTGATTATTAAGTTATATTTTGAAGACATTTAGGGCCATAGTTAAAATTATAGTAAATTACAGTAATTTTATTATAAATTGCTATGCGGTGTGTTCCCGATAGCTATTCTATTATTAGATGTATTTATATAAACACACTGACTGATAATAATGGGTTCAACGAGTGAATACATGTCATGTATATATATTATACTATTCTTTGTAAATCCTGCTTTTCGTAACATGGACTACAGGAACTACACCCGAACCGGAAAAGGTGGTATATACACATTTAAAAGTGGGTTAATAATTTTCAAGCTGACATTCACAGACTACCCGACTTATTTTTTTTTCACTCAGCGCTTTGTCTTGGAAACTTTGAATTATATTTAAAAAGGCTTAAATTATCTTACATTTTATCTGCTAAAAATAACCGTATCTAGAAGTTCAATAATTTATCAAATGGAAGATAAAACAAAGAGTAAGAGATTATTAAAGTTTCAGAAAAGGCATCGCTGTCCGGTTTGTAACATAAGTACAAATTCCGATAGTCAATTCGATCAACATTTAGAAGGCTTTCGTCATCGACATAAAAACATAATTATGTGTAATATGCAACACAGAAAACCTGAAAACTACGATTACGACTGTCGGTTTTATGTACCAGCTTTTATTCTCGTTTTTATAACCACATACTTCTATTGTTACATAATAGTAAAATTATGTACGTAAATGATAATGTTAGCAAATTATCATAATTCATGGCCATTAAAGTACCTTAAATTTCGCGCCACAATTTTAATTGGCGGAGAAGTCGTCCCCAAGCGTTCACGGCTTCTATGCGCACGAACGAACGCGCAGAACAATGAGGTAGCAGCCATTTTATGTCGGTGTCTAAGAAAAACATAATTCGAATGGCCAATCTTAACGAAATTGTGTAATTAGTGCTCTAATTTATGTGTTTCTGCACAGGTCACCATTATTAGGTGTTTCTATACTTATGTGAGTAGAATTGAAGTTTTGCTATATATAACGTTAGACAATAAGTATAATGAAACTTAATTTTGCATGTAAATTGAAAATGTAATTAAAAATATTAAATCTATAACTAATTCCCCCCAAAAAGTATAAAATGTGTTAGTATATTCAACGGATGTACGTATGTATCAGTTAGCGTTGTTTGTTTACAGAAATTAATCTGTCCAAACGATTACAAAGTGCGTTTTGCACATATAATTTTACGCTCGGAATATGACATAACTTTCATATATAACAATTCTAAAAAGCTCTGATATTTTCAATGTTTATATTATTCTTATTGGTAATTTAATACTGGTTTCGTTACTACCGGCGACGCGCAGCCTCTCTTGTATGTTGACGACAAAATTCAATATCGAATTGGCCATTTTATTGATGGCCGGGGGGGAGGTTGGGTGGAGACAGTCCGACGGCCGACAGATTCGGCCATTTAATTTTCAGGAAATAAACCTTTTTGATAGTTTTTGTTCACATTTACGTACTTTAAGTATGTACAATATAAACAATAATATGATTAAATACTTTCACTACAAATAAAATCAGTCACAACTTGATTTACATTTCCCTTTCCTCTGAAACTGAATACATTGCTCAATACAGTGAGTTTTAATATGAATAAACAATTTATTTTCTAAAATAAATTACTTTCATTCATACAAATCAATGCATAGTGATGTCTTAATTTAGACAAAAAAATCAGGTGTTAATAGAGTCTCGATTTGTTTATTTTGCTTTTTGTAAACAAAAAACTAATTACTTAATAGAAAAATTTGCACCATCTAATATGTGTGTGTTATTATGGCTGCTTTTTGTTTTGTAAATTTAATTTTAGTTTTTTTTTAACCATATGTATCTTATTTAAATTAAACATTGGCTTAAATAGATTAAGTTGCATGTCTTTAATTTGTATATTTTTTAGCTAAACTTAACTTAATAAAAAAGATATGAACATAAAAGTTGTATAGAATATATTTTGTTATTGTCTTTGAAGTGATGTTAAAGTAGGTGTAATAAAATGATTAAATTGTTAAATAAAATACCCATGAATTTAATTCTTACACTATCTTGTATAAAATGTTCCTATAAGATAAATATATTGCAGTCACCAACATAATTAAACATTTAATTCTAGTCCTCTTCCGTTTCCCTTCCTTTAAAATAATGAACAGGAAGCAGATGCTTTGGTTTGTAATCAATCTGCTATTTGAATAAACCATATCCTAGCACAATCTTAGTTCGAATTATTAAAAAAATTTTAGTAAATTATTTCAATATCTTACTAATATTATAAATACAAATTTTTAGATGGATGGATGGATGTGTGTTTGAAGGTATCTCCAGAATGGCTCTTGATAAAATTTGGTAGGATGTAGAACATAGTCTGAAAGAACATATAGGTTACTAATTAAGCTTTTTTTTTAATTCCACATGAGACCGCTATTCTATACTATAAAGAGGATGTGTTTGATTATTTACATTTTTACCAATTTAAAAATATTTAGTCCATTTACTTAAAAGGAATATGTGGCCTGGGCAAGTTTTATCAAGTGTCTTTAATGTACCAATTGCACTGTTTATTGAGTTGCATTTTCATATATCACAAATATTTGAAGAGAGAAATAATATTCAATACATAATCATCCCCGGAGTATCATAGCGATAACAGTAACACTTAGAGATTTGATTTTTAATAACTATTGCCATTTTATTACATTACCTTTTTTATTGATATATATAATTAGTAGACTAGAATCTATTCTGCATCTTTAAACAAACTCTTTAAAAAAAAATTAAATCAATTAAAGAAAGTGTCGGATATCCATGTTTTAATGTATGTTTACAATAATCTAAATGTCTAAATTAAAAAATGTAACATTATCAATATTTTTTGTTTGTTTATCCAAGTAGGTGGAGGGAGTTGAGAATGGGGGAGAGTAAAATAGTCCACCATTAGTTTTCCGGCGCATTGGGGCGTAGGCGTTGGGGGTGTGGCGCGGGGCGTGGGGGTCCCCGTGCCGCCCCCCAGCGACCTACTCGCCACTATCTCCATGTTTGAACAACAGATCAAAGCTGAACCCATGAGGTAACAATTTTACGCTATTTACAACTTTTAAAAAATAGTTACAGATGATCACAATGGTTGATAGTTTTTACAGTTGAAGTATATTGTATGGTAGTATTAACTGGCCCCCAAAAATATATATTGAAAATTAAACATTATATTCGATTCATTGTAATTATAGATAAAATATTTCTAAATAACCTTTGTATTTTCAGCTTCTACACCCCCCATTCACATCACTCAGGACCCCCAACAATAATGCGTTCAGACTCAAACCATGGTGTGATTAACATGAACCAGCATCACCATCAGGAAGATTCCAAAGACAGTCTCATAATACAGCAACAAGTACAACACCAGGAGATGCTTGAACAGCATCAACAGCAACAGGACTTACAAGCACAAGATGATGAGGTAAGTATTATAAGACAATAAGCCATGTAACACGAGGATTACAAGATGTAGGCCATTTAATCTCCAATAAATAACCCATAATTCCAGTATTTCAGTATTATGTAATACTTTTAGGGTCACCATTGATCAATTCCAACTGATATTTGTTGGTTGGTTTCTCTTGTCCAATATAGTTATATAGAAGTCTTATTGTATAATTTTTTTCCTGATTTTTGAATGAAATGGATAACATTGTGTTTTGTTACAACCCATGGATAGATAAAGGTTTGACTAACACATATTTTATGTGATTTCAAGACAATCAAAATACAACATTTTGTTATTATTACAGTTGAGTTTCAAAGGCATGGATGACGAAGGGGTCGATATGGATATGGATGGTCGACAATGTTCACAGGTATGTACAACATTTTTAAAAAGTCTTCATAGAAAATAATAAATTGTTTCTATTTTTATAATATACAGTAGAAACAAATATTATATGTTGATTGTTTTTATGCAGGGCATGGGAGTGGATATGGACTCGGTTCAAACTAAAATGGAGGTGACCAATGGTGGACAATTACCAAGATCTAAGCCTCAAGCCTGTAAGGTAAGAATATTTATATTTGTATAAATAAAAAATACAAATATGTCACGGATCAATCATAAAACAAGATTACAAATGAAAATTTTGACTATCTCTGAAATAAATTTTAATATATAACATAATTTTCAGGTTTGTGGCAAAGTTTTGTCTTCAGCATCTTCATATTATGTTCATATGAAGCTTCACTCTGGAAATAAACCTTTTCAGTGTACGGTAAGAAACGTTTTTTTTTCTACTTCTATATTTTGCACTAATGTAATAAAGTAATTCTGGGTGTCTAACAGAAATAATTCTGTGATCATTGCAAGCCTATGATCTTGGCTAGGTCTAGAGTGGGGGGAGGGGTGAGTTGCTACCATTAATATGGTCTTATTTGAAGTAATTTTCATGTCTAGTACATTTTCCAATTCTGTAGGGTCGGTTTAACTGCCCCCCCCTCCTACAATTGTGACGCCCATGCTGTGATCTATATATATATATAACTTAAAAAAATGTTCGAAATGTTTTCTATTCATGTTTTGTTATCAGGTTTGTGACGCGGCATTCTGTCGCAAGCCGTACCTGGAGGTGCACATGCGCACGCACACAGGCGAGCGACCATTCCAATGCGACCTCTGCCTCAAGCGCTTCACACAGAAGTCCAGTCTCAACACGCACAAACGTGTACATACAGGTGAGTGCACAAACAACTACCACTCTTCACTACAATATGGGTTATAGGCCAGGGGTCAGCAACCTGTGACCCCTAGGATCACCTTGGACTTTGACCCTAAAGGTCATCTTGGATTTACTTTACTTTTAAAAAGAAAAGTTCTTGTAAAAATAAAATGATAATCAGAATATTTTATTTAATTAAATCTGTAGTTAAGATTAATCTCATTATTTTCAAAAATGATTTTGATTCATGACAACAAGGTTGCCGACCACTGTTATAGGAAAAAGTTAAATTCGGCCTCTGGATAGTATTTTTGCAATGACATGGTTAAATTTTAGTAATATGAGAGGCAATAGGAGTATTTTCAAAAAAACAATTTTTAGAAAAGTGTTCAGGAAAATCTATAGATTTATGAATTTGTAATAATTGTTACTTTAATAGCAAGAGATAAATAATGACACAAAATAAATATTAGGTACCTTAATATTATGTTATCATTTGCATTACCACAATATAGGAGTCAAACAATTTTATAATTTAAATTAATTTAAGGGTCCTAAGAATAATATTTAGCTTTATTGAAAATAATTTGATGAACATAAAATAAAGTGAATTGATATATCGAAGTGTAATTTCCATATAAAAAGTGTTTTCAATTTAATGTATGAAATATCTTAAGGATATATTATTTAACCAGTTTTATGGAAGTTATACATGGTCTGATGTAAAAAAAACTCCCATGTTAATGCCATGAGGGGATGAAAATAATACTATTAATTGATTTTATTTTATATTTCTGGTTAAGTCAACCTCCTCCTGTTACCGCGTTCCGCGTAATTTCTTTTTTGTTTCGTCCATACTTGCTTGGTAACGCCCTGATTTAAAAAAAAGTTTTGTATAAAGTTTATTTTAAATAATATTATTTCGAGTACATATTTTTATTGCTATTGTTTATTTATTTTTATAGAAAATAGCTTTATGTCTAAATATAATTTTATTGTAATCCTATTGAATAAAATCGAGTTAAATAATTAAATGTTAGGTATATTATATTTATGTATTCGAATCGTACGTAAACACTAGAATGACCTTCCCTATTCCCTATGTAAAGGCCTCTGGACGGAGCTTTTATAGTAGCATTAACATAGCATGTAATAATATTTTGATATCAGGCATGATTTTGGTAAGCACGATGCTGGTGCAAAGTATATAAGCAGGATAGTTCAATACATATGCTTAACATAAAGTTGTGAATAGTTTTTGAGTTGTGTCATGTAGAAGTCGATATAAAAGTATCAGGGCGCGAGGATGTGTGGTAAACAGGGGGAGGGTCGGGGGTGGCGGCGGGCGCGCCCCCGCGGGCTTCCAGTCGCGAGGTAACGTGTTGGGGTGTGGCCTGGCTTCAGATGAGCACATGCGCGCGTTGTTGGCGAACGAGCGGCCCCACAAGTGCGAACTCTGTCAGATGCGCTTCACGCAGAGCTCCAGCCTCAACCGACACAAGAAAATACACACGGGTGGGTTGCACCTTCCACACCGCCCACAGGCCTATGTTATACTATTCATTTTCTTTCGGCTCTTTTGTAACTTCACATTGGTAAATAAATATCTGACGTGTGCGATGGTTTCGTTCAGAGGAACACAAACGCGCGCTGCTGGCTAAGGAACGCCCCTACCAGTGCGGCGTCTGCTTTGTGCGATTCACCCAGAAATCGAGTTTGGGCCGGCACGGGAAAATACATACCGGTGGGTCTCTACTTACACTAATGACACCGCGACCTAGACGGTGCTCCGACGTAGCCTCCCTCCCCCTGAGTGCGAGTGTGAATGCGTACAAACTGATTAGGCATAATGTGTGTTGAGAGAATGCCCAAATGTTATATCGAAAATCGTATACCTTATAGAGGAGCACAGACGAGCCCTGTTAGAGAAAGTGCGGCCGTACCAGTGCCACATCTGTTTTATGCGCTTCACTCAGAAGTCCAGCCTGGGCCGACACGGAAAGATACATACCGGTAGGCAACTTGCCCTAAACTCCTTAGTAGTCAATGAATTTGTTAGCACATAGTGAATGTAGGCACAGGTCAGTGGGCGTGGCGTATGCGCGACCGTTTATGTAGCTCTGTATTGGTATTTCTAGAGGAGCACATCCAATCGCTGATCAACAAAGTGCGCCCCTATCAGTGCGACATCTGTGACAAGTGGTTCACGCAGAAGTCCAGCCTGGGCACTCATAAACGTATACACACCGGTGGGTCCCCTCTTCATTCTTTTTATTATTCATTCGGGTTCCAAGTCACAATTCAAACATGTATCATATTATTGTTGTTTATTAATTATTTTACATTATTGCTGTTGTGGCTTCGATACCTTATTTGTGAATAGTTTTAAAGGGCTCCCAACTATCGCGTTCATGTTTTGTTACGATTAGCGATTCGGAAGTGTTTGCAATGATTCGATTTAATAAAGCTTGTCGCGTGTAAAAAGGTTGTTCTTTTCTAATAGGGGTTGCACACGCTCAAAAACTATTCACAAACATTTAAAATATAAGCATGTGTACGTTGTGAGAGTTTTCGTTAAAGTAGGCGAGTATTATTTTGATGGACAAGTAAAAGTAAATTCCCTCATGGTAGCGTCAGTCTGTCTATCTGGTCGTGCGATAGCGAGAGAGAGACGAATTATTTGTCCATCGTGGTTTTGTTTTGTTTCTCTGTCCCCGCGCGGGCGTGGCGCAGGCGAGCGGCCGTTCCAGTGCACCGTCTGCCTCAAGTCCTTCACGCAGAAGTGCGCGCTCAATTTGCACGAAAAGATACATACGGGTTAGTAGCCCACATATATTTATACACTGCGACACTCCTTCCGGTGCGGTAGCGTCGACCTGCGCGTCCTCACGCGTCTCATACATTCTCATTTAGCGTCATGCTTCTGTCCTACTTTTCCGTTGCTCGCCTAACCCGTTCATTTACGATCCCTGTTTTCGATAGCTTGCCATCTCGTTGCTTCCGACTAACATCTCGACCGTTCAGTAACTCCTTAGAATGCGCGCTTTACCGACTTCTGCACTCGTCCGCAAACCCTCTTTCATTCTAAATCTGCCGGTCACATTCTCATTTTTTATGTAGCGATTCGTTGTTCTTTAATGCACCATTACTTTGAATTCATCATATCTCTTCATGAATATTAATAATTTCACAAAAGCGGTAATGCAATCGCCGCTAAGACGCACCGATTGGCGCCACAGTATCCGACGTATATCAAAATTGTGGGTCGCGGGGCGAGGGGGAATCGGCCGGTAGGCGGGCGGTCTAGCGTCGGCGACGTGCGTTACTCGCTTTTGTGTGTGCACTGGGCGCAGTGCAAGGGCGTCCTTACACGTGCGGGCAATGCCCGGCGGCCTTCGCACGCCGCCCCTACCTGGACTCTCACATGCGCACGCACACAGGCGAGCGGCCCTATCAGTGCGACGCCTGTCTCAAGCGCTTCACGCAGAAGTCCAGCCTCAATATTCATAAACGGACGCACACAGGTGGGTCACAGCCGGCCGGACTGGCGCCCCGCCCGCCCCCTACCGCCCCACACCCACGTACGTTTGTCTTTCCGTCTCCTCTCCACTCTCTCTTCGGCCGTCGCATCGTTGTTTAGTCGCGCGGAGCCGATGCGAGGGTTTGGAGGTGAGTACGCGGCGAGCGGCGACCAGTCCGCGCCGCAATCTGCGTAGTGCGAGGGCGAGTAGCGCCCTTGCGGGCCTGCCGCTGCTATAATGTATGTGTTGGGCACCAGTCCAGGGCAGACCGTTCCAGTGCCTGTCGTGCCCCGCCGCCTTCACCTGCAAGCAATACCTGGAGATACACACGCGCACGCACACCGGCGAGCGGCCGTATCAGTGCGACATCTGCCTGAAGCGCTTCACGCAGAAGTCCAGTCTCAACATCCACAAGCGAACGCACTCAGGTACGTCGCCGCTCGACGCTAGGGACGGATGGACGATATGTGGGCTTGCTAGGTCGCGGGGTCGGCTGCTCCCATCGGCGCGCCGCCGCCACCGCCTCTCTAACCCTCCCGCCCTCCACAGTGCAGGGCCGGCCCTTCCAGTGTCTGCAGTGCCCCGCCGCCTTCACCTGCAAGCAGTACCTCGAGATACACAACCGCACGCACACCGGCGAGCGGCCCTACCAGTGCGACGTCTGCCTCAAGAGATTCGCTCAAAAGTCAACACTCAATATACACAAACGAACGCACACAGGTACCGTACTCTCCCAATCCAACGTACGTATATCATTGTATTCATAAGAAAGTTGTCGGTGCCACATGTTAGGGTCTAAATAAAGATATATGAGAGTGTAACGGAGGGTGTGTGTGTGTGTGGTCAGTGCAAGGGCGGCCGCATCAGTGCATGGAGTGTCCCGCCGCGTTCACGTGCAAGCCCTACCTGGAGATACACATGCGCACGCACACCGGCGAACGTCCCTTCGAGTGCGACGTCTGTTACAAACGCTTCACGCAGAAGTCCACGCTCAACATACACAAGCGCCTGCACACCGGTATGCCCATCATCAGCTCACTGTACGTGCCCACTGAGGGGCGCGTTGTGCACTAAATATTGTAATAGTACAGGCCCTTGTATATAAACTTTTATATTTCTGTATGCGAAGTATACATATTGCATTTGAATTAAAAAATATATAAGGTCCTGTCCTTTTGCCGTCGTTTTTCACTGTTTTTATTGGCGTGATAAAACGCACTTGAGAATGTTTTGCGCAGAAGACGGCAAACTGCGATAACACAAATATGTTCTTTATTTTTAGACATAATGATGTGGCACCGACAACTATGTGATTTATCATATAATATAATGCGCTACATCATCTCGGTTTCAGTAATATATTTTCTTATAAGATATATCTTAAATTCATCGATTTCAGATCATACTGTCACATTGCATCTTGCCGTCTTTACAAATTATTTGCTTTCTTATCCTGCTTTTTTCATTGTAATTATTTCATTTAACATTAATTAGCTACTCTTTTTCTTGATTAATTTCAATATATTCTTATATTTCGGTGTTTAACATAATTTAGTCATTTTCAAAATTGTAACAAATGTTTTTTTCTTTAGGTGAACGTCCATATGCATGTGATATATGTCAGAAAAGATTTGCTGTGAAGAGTTATGTAACAGCACATAGGTAAGATACTATGCTCGGTGGATTTAAACTTAATAAAAATTATCTATAGACTTATTTCAATCTTTTTAATCTCACTTAATTATTGGTCATCCCTCAAACTCATTTTTGAAATGATTGAATGACTAAACATCTTCCAGAAATCTGGTCAACGACAAAAAAGAGGTACATTTGCTTGTACTTAGCAAGACTGGCAGCCGCCAACTAACGCCTCCCAAGACAGCGGTGGGGGTCAAACTAACGCCCTCCAAAATAGCCGTAACCCCCGACTACCGCCCCAACTGTTAAGACCTTATTGGGGGGTATTATGTACTTTGAGAGACTATAATTTGTTTGCATCCATTGTACATCCAGGTGGTCTCACGTGGCAGACAAGCCACTGAACTGCGAGCGGTGTTCGCTCACGTTCACGTCCAAGTCTCAGTTCGCGCTGCACATCCGCACGCACTCCGCCGCCGCCTGCTACGAGTGCAGCGTCTGCGGCAGGACATTCGTAAGAGACAGCTATCTCATACGGTCAGTGATCTACACTTGTATATAACTCCAACTCCAACCTTATATAACTCCAACCTTTATATACCAACTAAGATATAAAAAACGGGTGAAATTTATATCATGTGTTTCAAAACTCAAAAAAGGGTCTTGACAGACAAACGGATGGACAACAAAGTGATCCTATAAGGGTTCCGTTTATTTCTTTCGAGGTACGGAACTCTAAAAATGAATGTTGCGAGGTTATCGAGTAAATATGTGATTCTAACGTATCGTATATAGGTTGGTTACCTAAGTGTTCTTCCGCTGTACCAAATTTCATCAACGTCTATGCTGTCTAGAGATCATGCTATGCTCAGTAACAAACATCCGCATTTATGTTATGAGATTTTCATAATAACATAAAGCAAATTGCATAGAGTGACGTACAGAAAATATTAATTATGACAAATTTAAAGAATTATCAAAAGTAACTTAGAATAAGAAGGGGTTAGGTTAGGGGAGAGGGATCGTCTATTTACACTATTTCTAACAATTAACTAACGAATTATGTATCTGTACAGGCATCACAACCGCGTGCATCGAGACAATCACAGCAATATGTCAGCAAACAGCATTGGCAATATGGCCGCCAACAACGCCAACAATTCGAACAACTTCGACACATCCGGCGTTTGTGACTTAAGGTGACTACAAACACACGCTTTCCACCTTTTTGGTAGAACATTCGCATACCTTATATTTAAAAAAAAAACTTGGTTGGAAAAGAATTATTCTGAATAATATTTTGTTTCAGTTTCGTGCCAATGGTGAACCGCTACATGACGTCACAGGGCACACAGGTGTCGATGCAGGACTCCAACAAGATGTCCGCCATGTCGCCGCAGTCAATCGCCTCCATATGTAAGTGGAACTACTGTTAAATTCATCAAATTGTAAGAAAATATAACCTTACTAGCTGTCGCCCGCAATCTGTCCTCACGCTATTAAATAAAATGTGCCAAATTTCAGCGAGATACATGCAGCCGTTCTGGAGTTACTTTCTTAACAAACATCCATCGATCCAAATTGCTTGCCAGTCGGGAAAATAATTGCTTACAGCCTGTACAAATTATCACAAAAGTGGGCAGATAAGTTGAACTATTGGAGATTAAACAACAAAATGTTTTAAAATTAGCGATATTTTGTATTACACATGTAAAATAACTTTTGTAATGTATACATTGTTGTGTTGTAGCGTCGCCCCCTCCCCCGCACACGCCGACCCCGCAGCCCATGTCCGTGCCCATGCGTCTCACTGACTGATTGCCGCAATAGGTGAGCAAAAACACACCATGATAACTTTCCGGACTCTTTATTTTAGTTCTCTTTTCCTTCCTACCATTTTCTTATATAGAAAAGATGGGAAAAAGGAGAATATCTCTTTCTGTGGTTCTCCGTCTCCGTCGTTTAAAGGTAGACAACACCTTTGTAGTAGCGGATGTCCATAGGCAGAGAAAGTTTCGCTATTTCGGCGAATTAAGCCACTTGCTAGCTTGCTAATTTGTACTTTAAAAATATATAATTTGTTACTGCTATATAAAACTATAAAAGTGGTCATTACCTAATTTTTTAACCTTCATTTGAAATATAACTGTGTGATATAGTGAATTTAGTGTTTAAATGTTAATTTTCAACCGACTTCAAAAATGAGGAGGATCTCAATTCGATTGGTTTTTTTAATGTAAATGTATCGCGATTTAGGTGATTGTTTAGTTTATGTGAGATAATATTTGTTTATTTGCAGGTGTCGGTGGCGCAGTGTGCAGCCAGAGTGCAATATTATAAGAAGACAGCCGTGAACAGGAGCAGTTATTGCAGCAGCAGACATCGCGAGACCGCCCTCTCACATTCAGCGTGGACTTTACACACTTTTATACAAATCTTTTATTTTTTATTGATTTATTTATTTACACATCGTTGGAATGGAGTGCGAAGTGCGGAGAACGGAGAGCGGAGAGACGCAGCGGTACCGCCTATAATATCCATTGTGATTATTATTGCAACTGTGATTTATATCTTACCATCACAATGTCATATTAACTCCCGTGATGGCATTCGTAAATCGTTACTTAAAACTCTCATCGTTGTAGATTTTAGGCCTAAATTTTTGATCTCATATTCTAATTTGCTTAGTATTAAAAAAGTTATTTGGAAATCATGAATGGCTGACCAGAGGTTCGAAATTCTAAATTGTTTATATTCGGTTGAACGCTTTTCATGAAAACTTCATTAGATTTAGAGTAAACGATATCTTATAGCGATGCTTTAACTTAGTAATTTCATGTATTAACGGAGTTCACTAATTTTATACGTGTTTAAAATGAAACTATTTTCAATGTGGGCTCGTAGTTATATAGAAACCTAACATGTAATCAGTAAAAATGCTTTAATTTTAATCAGATATACATACGAAGGAATAATAAAATACAAGTACAAAAATCAGTTGTGCAGCGTCCGAGGCAATAACGAAGGCTTCACAAAATTAACTTTAATATGATGTTTATTGGAGTAATCCAGAGAAGTGCCTGTTGGAACATAAAATTGGCAATATTTTATAAAGCGTGTTACTTTCATATTGGGGTTACTTACCCCTGACTTCTCGTGTGGCAATAAGATAGACCTGTGACATTTTTTGATATCACTTCGGCCTTGTATACATAGAGCGTATAATTTGTGAAGCTTCTTACTAAACTTTGTGTGCCTTCTAGCGGATAGCGATGTTAGGCAATATCACGAGAAACAATTCATCTTCCCAAACTTTTACACCCCGCAAATGTATTGTGAGATAGTGACAGATTCTTTGTGTTTCTTAACATTCTAACAGATCAATATAACATTATTTAATCTCTTATTTACAAGTTATATACTTTTGGAATTTATTAGAATTTTAAACTTTTTTTTATTATTTTCTTTTTTATAAAATTTACTAGATAAAACATGAAGTTCTTCATAATACTATTTTAAAAGAAATTTACTAAATTCATAAATAATTTGTCACTAAAATTACACTAGGGGTACACTTAAATTGCATAAGGTTTTTATATTCTCGTCATACAAATTAATTTCAAAGCAATAGTTTTCATAACTAGAGTGTTGAATAGAATGTAATGTAGTGATATAGCGCAGTAGTCTTCCAGAGTATTGGCTGCGAACGAGCAGCTACGGGGTTCCTTATAGGGATGGTTGGTACTGAATCATCCGAATGATATCAATAGTTTAGAATCGATTCTTAAATATCGATATCTTGAAAGCGAGTTTTGGATATTGATATTTGACAATCGATACATTCAAGCTTTTTGAATTTAAGAATGCAAATCTATGATTTAGTCAAATTTCAGTATGCTGTATAGTATAGCTGTTTTATTTCCGTCTATTTAAAGGTTATTTTCTATTTTATTTAAAACAAGGTTTCTATAATTAATAGTTATTCGATTAAGAAATTTAATTAATTTCAAAATTTTTGATTCTTTGTAGTAACAGCGATTGGCTGTCTTTATGCTTTGACAGTTTTGTTATATACGACGTAAATCAAAGTGGAAATCGATACGTTAGCAAGGATATGGTCGATCATCCCTAGTTCCTTATGGTTTGCCATTATTGATATCAAAGAAAGATTGGTGCCATTTGTATGTAAAGGATGCGGTAGTGTAAGTTTAGTTAAGTTTGCTGGTCAGGGTTGCAAGTTGATTATTGTAGGGAACTCAGTCTCATGTTTATTGCGAACTGCACTTTTTGAATTCGCCGTTTTCTTTATCTCTTTTTATATGACTTATATTGTTTTGTTTCCGAATGTGTTATTGTTTTTTCTATGACATTTTATTTCATCCGCGATGTTGTGTGCGTGTCCATTTGCTGCGGGCGGGAAGTGTAAATATTGCTAGGAACTATTTATTCGATTGAAGTTTAAATCGATTCGATATCGATAGTCGGTAGCGCGACACGAAGGCGCGTCCCTAAAGCGGCGCGAAAGATATCGGAACTGAAGTGAAGATAAATTGGAATTAATCATAGATTATTTAGCGCAGATGTATACTTTGGGTAATGAAGTCGAAATTTCCTTGTAGATATACACGAGTATGATAATAATAATTAATAATATATACATATGAATGTTGTTTGATAGTCCTCAATATTTTTTTATATTTTGATAGTTCTGTATTTGAAGAATAAAAACACGAGAAAATAGGCCAATATCTCATTTATCATTTAAAAATAAAGCTGTATGTACACGATAATTTAAGGTCGACACGACGGATGCATTTAGCTGCCGATGCCGGGTGGTGGCTGAGATACTAGTGTTTAAAACATATATCCGCGTCTTTGGAATTAACTCGTTCTTATTAAGTTTTTTCTACCAAGCCATTGAGAACAGTATTATTTAGAGAAACTAGAGAGAGCTCGGTTTAATGAGTAGTGTAATGGAACAACCATTTTGTTATGATTAACCTTGAAAGAAAAATTATGTCATATTTTGTCAATAGTTGTAAAGACCGGCGGTCGATGACGTATTATCCATAGATGTTAATGGGAAATAGAAACACCAACATAGCAGACTAGTTACATATATAAAATATATAGATGTATATCACATCGCCGCCCCGCTTCCTCTCTACGGCCGGTCATTCGCAATGCCTAGAATTAATATATTTTGTTGTTATATGTTCACTATATCATTGCTTATTCTTGATTATTTTACAATTTATAAACGGAGAGAGGGGAAGCAGGGTTGACTTGGTCCTATTTAATTACTAGATAAACTCTCGATGTAAACCTCCTTGTGAGGCCGTAGTGATAGGAGAGTATTTGGTAAAAGATTAGGACCCCTCCTTTATATAGCTACGAAGATGTATGGATTGCTTACGATACGATTTTCAATAAAAAAAAACAAGGCGATTCATATCTCTTCGTTGTTCAACTATTTTACATACAGAATGTTAGTTACTTTAGTGTAATACTAAACTTTGGATTTACGTAATCGTAATGTGGTTATAGTTGTTTATATTTTTTTAAACTTCCTCTACTTATTTTTTGTCAACCGTAGAAAAAGACTGAATTACAAAAAAATATCCACACCGTCGTATAAGAATACTCACCGGTAAAGAAAAAGAAAAATATTGGCATGATTTTTGGAGTGTTTTTTTTTAAATTACTTTTTGTCGTTTATATCGGTTGTGGTGTTGGACCAACCTTCGTTTTTTTTTAATTCTACCTAACTTGTAATGTTTTGGTATGAGAGAATTCGTTTAAAGAAATCGTACATATCCTTTCCCGTGAACTTGTGTATAGTTTGACTGCTGGCAGTGTTGTATGTCCGTTCGTCACACCATGACATTTTATATGAACATTACAATGGATGCTTTTGTGAGGGTATCTGTAAAAATGTTATCATTTGTATACTATAATAATATTATACATTTATTCCTCACATTCATATATTTTTTAAACTATAATTCAGTAATCTGATTGTGTTTATTTAATTGCAAATTTTTTATGATTTTTTATACATTTACACAATATTGTGGATTTGATTATATTTTTTTTAGTTTCATCATTCATGAAATATTTTTAAATTTGTAATTTTCAAAAACAAACGCAAGTATTTATAATAGCCAACTAAGCTAAAACAGTTTAATCTTTTGTTACGTATACCTGGAGTGTTATACTCACTCAGTCATTTTGTAAACTAACGATAGTGAGTTTGTTCGTATAAAGTGTCATGTTTGTGTGTAGGGCGCGCAGCCTCCGCGGTTCACTATCAGTGGATCGTGTTAGCGTTGAGGGAGTAACAGTGACCTTGTTTAATCATTATATCTAAGATACAATAAACATATTTAGTTGTACCGTTAGATTTACGCGATCTTCCGCTTTGCCAACATATTGCGTTGCTTCAATCATAATCATACGTGAGTACAGCCTAAGGATTTTAACGTTTTTTTTTATATACTGAGAGCTATTTCTAAGTCACTGATTTTTTACGATTTGTAGATAATATTAATGAAAATATTTTAAACGGCTATGAGCCGTGATAAACAAGTTTTGGAGTATTTTACATACATTTTAATTCCAATTATTATTAAAAATCCAATGAACAAAGATCATGGCATGATAGTGTTTTTGCGGTCATTTAGTGATAGCTCTACAGAGTTTTGATGACCAATATTTTTTAATTGCAACTGTTTTTTTTGTATTGTTAAAATTTTTAGGCTAGTTTATATTTCTATATAAGTTAGATTTGTTAACTGTGGTGTGTTTATATTGCACATGAAAATAGCTCCTTTACAGCCTCATTTACGTACGTTTCCTTTTATTATAGTCTAAAGATGTGATAAATTTTATAATTAGTTTTTATTTAAGGGGCTGATTACACCTAAAATCTATTTACAGAAATTGTAAAAAATAACTACTATATTTTTTGGAAAGTGTTATGTTTATTTTTTTAGTTATAGTTTAAGATTAAAGCATTTTATCAGAGTATTTTAATAGCATTTTACAAACTATTTTATTCGAGGCATAGATTATCAAAAACTGGTTTATTAAAAAAAATTGTGTGTTTAAATGCAACATTTTTGGTTATCTGTAAAAATATTTTTATTTCGTTCTATTATCTGGTTATATCTATAAATTTACGTTATTTCAAATTTTTTGTATGTATATATAAACAAACGCCCTATGTATTGTGATGCTACCCTTGTCATATTTGAGTCAGTATTGTTTTTTTTTCAATAAAATGGCTGGTCCAGTATTTAGTCCCATGACCGACAAGCAAGTTAACTAACAAGTAGCCAAGTAGAATTAAAAATAAGATTTAGGTGTCGTCATCGGCTTAAACAGAAAATGGTGTTGCAATTGTTTACCGTTAGTGTACCAGCTGATGTAAAGAGGCTGTAAGGATCTGTATGTAGTCAGCATTATGTATATGCTTTAATGTGATTTTTTAAATGTACTCTTTATTATATTAGTATCATCATTCTTATATAATTAGCGAACTAACAAAGCGTTTCTAATATTTTTTTTCAATTCATAGTGATTTATATTGAGATCAAAATAAAATACAGAGTTTATTTAATTTTATGAAAAATATACATTGTGTAAAATTTTATTCATTAGTCGCCCGTCGGGCTCAAATAAAAAAAAAGAAACTATATGAAATGCAAAATAACAAGTCACGATTCTTTTAGAAGTCGCCATGTAGTGGAGAAAAATAAACGTGCCATGATATTTGTGGCTAGATATCTCTTTTATTTCATCTCTGCTTAACCCCACCCACCCAAGACATCCTTTTGTGTAACTATAGCGTGGGATTCCATTGCTGAAACATCGTCCTTGTCTTTGTAAAAACTGAACAAAATGTTTCTGAACGAATTTTTTGGTAGTGAAAACTAAAAATTCAGTGTAACTGGTCATCACTTTAGTAAAGTGAATAAAAAAAACATTTAATAATATGTTTTTTATTTATTTAGTTCAACAGTCTACCACAATCTCTTCTTTGACGACATTGGCGTCTCCTGCCGGTGCCAGCGTGTTGTCAACTATAGGTGCTGGGCTCTTGTAATAAATGTTGCTGGCGTGATGCTCCTTCAAATACTCCGCTCCCATCTCATAGTATTCCTCTTTCGTTATACAGTACTTTTCGAATTCGTTACTTCCCGCAAAATCACGCGCTCCATACCAAGCGTCCAAACTTGCATCTTTCGCCATTACCACTTTGTGGGTAGACTGGAACGGTCGCATTTCGAGCAGTTCCCTTTCTAATCTCTCTTTCAAACCTAAAAAATATTTTTTCTTTTAAAACTTGTCATAATGGTCCAAGTGTCATTGTCGAAAAATTATTTTAAACTTTAGCAGATATTTACTATTTAATCTACTCTAAAGGAAATGCCTTTAGAGTGTTATTATCGTTGGTTTCTAAACAAAAAATATCTGTATAAACCATATCGTCATCCTTCTTATTATCTTTACCAAAACAGAGATTGCAATCTGTTCTATACAAGGATTTTGGTGTCAGAAACCTCCGGTTAGTTACTGTTAACCAATTTGTGAGCTTGACTTGTTTAAACAACAAACCTGGAAACCGAGAGCAGCCGCCCGTGAGGAAGACATTGTTAGCTAACAGCAGCTGGTCCTCTGCGCTGAAGTGCTTGAACACGTACTCCATGGTCTCCGCCAGCCCAGCTTCCAGGTTGCCCAGCATAGACGGCTGGAACATTAGTTCTGCAGCTCTGTAGCATTACATCGATTATTATAACAGTACATTATTATTAACTATCCCAAATTTATCCAGATGTTGTGGACCTGAGTGGTTCAATGGCGAGATGCAGCTGGTGGTGCTGGCTGCTGGTCTGCTGCGGCTCGTGCTCCCGCAGTGCCTCCTCCAGCTCCAACAGCCGCTCCCCGTCCGCTTCTGAATCTGAATCCGCCTCCCGGCTGATGCTGTGCAACAAAGGTTTTATAATGTGAAGATTCTAGATGTATCAACAGTTGTTGTTAGATTCATGAGCGACGTGAGCCTACCTTTTGTAGACGTCCCAGTCGGAGTCTCGCGTTCCGAAGTCGTCTCCTGCGGCTGTGAGGCGAGAGATGACGCGCATGCGCTCCGCGGCGGCGGCGGTGCGTCGCCGCAGCATGGCCGCACGCCGCGCGCGACGAGCCTCGCGACGCTGCACCACCTCGCGGTACTACACACAGGTGACACAGCCACACTTAGACTAAATTAATGATTTCTTAAGAATGCTCTTAGTGTAGATTCTTTATACTTAAACGACACTAATGGAAACCCTTTTTGGCTACTTAATGAATAAAAATTATTGCATCATGTACATGAATTTTGTAGAATATAAGAATAGATTTAGGTTTTTGGATACAGATTTTGTATTATTTAATAATTTTTTTATGAAAATTCCACAAGCTAAAGCTGTACTGTAGCGTTTTATCATACTAAAATTTTGTGTATATACGATGTTGGCGAGTTACCTTGGAGCGTGTGTCATTGAGCCAGGCCTGGAGCGCCTCAGGATCAGCGGGCGGCTGCAGTCGGCCCGAGGGTTTTGGCTCCGGCAACTCCCCCGCGCTGGCTGCGGCCGCCGCCGCTGCGATGCGTTGCTTGTTTTTCTCTATGCGGGAGTTCACATTTGTAATTTGCCTCTGAAAATGAAAACACAATAAACTTAATTCATATTTACATAAACTGTTCAGACAATATTACAAAATGTCAAAAGAAATATAAGCATAATATAATAATACACTAGAGACTTTGTGACTTCAGTGAATTTTACTTACCTGAAGATCTTCATAGTTTTTTATGTCAAAACCTTTTATGGCCTCATTAAATTCATCTGTATCACCATCTTCCATTATTTCCTGTAAATAAAAGATATGTATATGAATGAGAAACTAAGTGGAATATCAAATAAGATTAATATTGCATAATTATTGAAACATACCTGCAATGCAAGCAACTGGTTCATCTGTTCTTCATCTTCAGCCAACCTCTCCTCTCGTTTCCTTGCATTTATCTCTAAAAGTCTGCGCGCCATTTCTCTCTTACGTTCCTTTTGTTGCTCAGCTATGAAATAAACAAAGAAAAATTGAGACTAAGTTTTACTAAGCATATTTTAACAACAAAAAATTGTATAAACCATTTAATCCCTTAATTTTCTGCCAAATATGTCAAAATGTTGTACTACTATTAAAATATTATCTACTAGAACTTGAGAGAAAGTCACTACCTGTAAGACCTGAAGAACTGGTTGATTGTACAAATGGTAATTGTATCCTTTTCACATTGGCTTCATAGTAATCGGGGTTTGCCCATTTTCTTATTTCTTCCTGATAATCCAAAGCTATTGAGCAGTGTTCATGAAGAATTTCCTCGATACGAGACATTGTGATTGCATTCACATGCACTGGGTACTTCAACTGTAGTAATTTATGTAAATAGCATATCATTTCACTTCCACCTTAAAAAAAACATAGAAAAAAAAGAAATAGATACTAACTAAAGTAATTTTACACACATCATTACATTTTAACCTTACCTAAATTGATCCTTCTTGCGTGATGAGCAATAACTTTGCCCCTTATAACTGGTATGATATGTATTGTGTGATATCCACAGTTAACAATCAAAGCCGAGTCTCCAATATCATTCTTGTACATACTGAACAGTGAATCAACTCCGTAGCTGACTGCAGGTATACCATATCCCTCAAATAACAACTCTGACATCACTGAAACAATTTATATATGAATAATTAAATAATATAATTAAATTCTTATTCTTAGAAAGTTTCAAAGACTTTTTTTGGTATGAAACCAGAGTATTGTTTTCGTTCTAATTATTTTTGATGGGACAATTCTTGTATAGGGTTACAATTTATTTAAAAAATCTAGTAAAAACTAGTGCACTATCAATACTTAAATTATCTTTGTATCAAAGATAGTGATTAGTAGGTTGGAGTCTAAAAATTTGTATGCAAAAGTAAAGTATATTAAAAATGTAATTTATACTTACATTGTCTGCAGTAATTTGGTGTGACAAAAGCTTCAGTTAAAACAATAGGATGAGGCACATTGCCTTCACTATCAATGCCTAAATGCGAGAAAATGTAGTCAAGTACTTGCTCTTGTACCTCAAAGTGAGTTACTACATTTTTATCAAACTGAGTTTTTAACTGGAATCTTAAAAAATGTAATGCAGTTTATATAAATCAATAACCATTATATTATCTAATGTGTTATTTAATTTATTATAAACTTACCGCACCGCTTCAATGTTAATAATATCGTTTCCTATTTGAATTGGCGGAGTGACCGGTGGTTCGGCATCTTTCTTACATCGATCCTTCCGTGGTCGGGCTATTAAATTCTTAAAAATTAAATGTGGTTCATCGTATATTGACCAACCGACTCTACACTGGTATGAACCTATAGGAAGTATTGTTAATTTTTATTTCAAGAAATCACAAAATGATGCAAGACAATATTGAAAACTAACCATTATCTATAACCAAAGGTATGTGACCAAATTTTAATGTAGGACCATACTCATGTACGATGTCAGGGACAGTTTTATAGTCTTTTAAAACTAATACATCTTCCATTATTCGGGTATATATTTTTATAATCAAAAATCCAAACAATAACTTTAATTCACTCTATCACTAACTGTCAAACTCAACAGCTGTCATCTGTCAAAATTTACCACACTGTTTTCATAGAAAAAAAACAGTTACCATAGAGTTCTACAATGTTTACAGCAAAGAGTGTTTATACAAATTGCATTACTATTACTTGCATTACAGCAGGCAAGTCTGAATGTAGGATTTCACGGTAAAATCTACTTAAAAATAAAAAAGGCATTTACAGGATTTTTTGGTAGCATAAAACTGATAGATGGTAGCCAGTGTCTATTATCTAAACAACTATTGGTAATCAATATAAGAAATAATTTTATTTTGTAATAGGGTTTTCAAACTTTATTAAATAAAACTGCTTGCTTTTTCAGTTAATACATTTTATTCGTGTTAATAAGGGAAACAGTTCAAGCCTGAAAATCTATATCACATCTACTTTATAATTTTTAATTTATAAATAACTCACAATACAATCTATCAACGTTATATAATATTAATATTATTTACCAACAATAAACATTGCTTAGGAATGTGTTTGCAAAAAAAGCCGACAAACGTTCAAAAATAGATGTTAATGAAAAACAATAAATTGAATAGTGATCTGGTTACAACAGTTATATACGTTTATTTACAACTATGTAATACAGGTTCTTTTAAACAGTATTTTTGGTACTGTTGAGTATGACACATAATATCTCAAATAAATGGCTTATATACAACTTGTAATACTATATGGGGGCCTACATTTGAAACATTGCTATTGCCAAGCCCATTTTGAAGACCAACAAACAACAATTAAATACTCTGAATCCATAACATACGAAGCAAGTTAGGCTTTAGCGCCCACGGCGGTGCCGCCAGTCTGCTTGTCGATCTGTTCCTTTTCCAATTGCTTGCCAAGGTATTCCCTGGAATGTCACATTCATAACTTAAAAAAAAGATATTTAAATTTAATCTAATTACGTAAAAATGCTGTCCTCCTGCAACCGTTAGTTTTAAAGACATATTTAAAAGTCACATTGTCACAGTCAAACTATTAAGGTTACAGGACGTTACAAAACCATAAAAATAACGACCTACTAGTCGGGTCAAAGTAGAAAACAAAAGGCTCACCAGTTGTGGACCATGAGCTTTTGCACGGCGAGGAGGGCCTCGTAGCGCACGTTAGGGTCCTCGTGGCTGAGCAGGTACATAACACGCTGCTTGCCGCCCAGCTGCTCGATAATGCTGTCAATGTAATGCACTTTTATAATCACCATCAATTATTACACGATGATTGTTAATTAAAATAAGGACCCACTATCTGGTGAAACTTGTTTAAAATTTGAGAATTTTCTAACTGTTAACTTTTTTTACAAAATTGTTGCTAGTTATCTCAGTTTACATTGTCACGACAGTCCTTGGGCACTGCCAGTTATGTCACCATTCCACCAGATGTCACCATTCGCTGAATTGAAACGCGGAATACTACCACTTGACCTCTCTCTTGTGTGGTCGTAGTATTGAGCCGGTCGAGATGGCCCATTCATATTCCCAACAAATACTGCGCTCTAATACTTTATAACGGAGTACGCACGGAATTAAAAAAAAACTAAATAAGTAGTCCAGACTATTTTCTGCATCTGTGAGAAATGTCATGAAGATCTGTTAAGCCGTTACGGAGATATCTTCTAATTTAATAAATGAATAAGATGAATACTAACTGCTTGCCGCGTGGATAGTGGCGCACGTATTCGCCGACGTCGTAGCAGGCAACAGCGAGTACGACTGGGTCGCGGCTCTTCTCCAGCAGATGTACCAGCGTGCGCAGCAGCTCCTGCCCGCGCTCGTTCAGCCGCGCCGCGTTCTCGCGCCAGAACTTCGCCGACTTGTGCACCGGAGACCATTCCAGGCTACAAATATACATCAAACATAAACAGCTCTCATTATCAAAAATGGATTCAAAAATGTTGATTTTACATTCACTTAAATCATGTCAATGCCGTGTCTGTAAAAAACTGTAGATACTATATTTTATTCAAAAGAACAAACTTAAAAACAGTTTAAATAACCTAAATGCTATATAAGCCATATTAATTGGGCAATTTGACCATATAAAACATTCTATTACATAATTATTTTTAACAGTGGTAGAGCCCGCTTTAACATATTCGCACGAATCGGCCCGGCTCGCCCGGTGAAATACCACGACCACACAGAAGACAGGCGTGAAGTGGAAGCAATTCCGCGTTTCGTCTGATGAGTGTGCGTCCCGGAGGCCAAAATTAGTCCTTTTCCCTTCCCACCCTTTTTCTTATAAGGAAAGGATGGGAAGTGGACTTTCCGGATGAGAGGATGCATGGAAAGGGAAAATATTTTTTTTCTGGGCATCCTCTCCTCCGTCGATTAAAGGTAGGCAACGCATATGCAATTGCGTATGTCTATGGGCAACGGTCACTTTGCTATTTCAGCGATTTCAGGTGGCCCGCTCGCTCGTTTGCCACTTTGTGATATATAAAAAAAAATAATAAAAATAAAAAATATCCATAACATTGTACAATCTTACCGGCCGCTCTTGACTTCGGTGGCGTACTGGTCGAAAGAGCTGAGGTCCTGCACGGAGGCCTGCAGGCGCTCGTTGAGGAAGTCCACGTCGTTCATGATGTCCTCGTCGTCCGAGCGCTTCTGCTCTAGGATCGACAGCTGTTTCAGCACCTTGCATTGCACCATCGCGATGCAGTGCTCTTTCGCTACCTGACAAATTCACACAAATAAATTTGCTAAAGTTTACTATTTTTGTAATTTGAGAGCTATAACGTCACCATATGTCGCTCAAATAACCTATTTATTTCATAATTTCGTTAATAACTTAACGTCTTTTACATGAAATGCTTCATGTTTTACCTGGTGATCTTCAGGCTTCTCAATAAGGTTCCTGAAAACAGCAAGGACGATGCGTGTGACCTTCTCCTTGACGGAGTCGCTCAGGATGTCGGCAAGGATCGGAATGGCATTGAACTTGTTCATCTTCTCCGCCAACAGCGGGTTGAATGTCAGCACCCACAGGCAGAATACCAATTGGTATTGCACCTGGAATAAACAACAATTTTCATATATTAAAGAAAAACAATTTTCGTAAAATCCTGTAAATTTAAAAAATTTCAACAATTTTTTTTTACTTTTTTGACATAGGTATTGTTCTTATAACATTAAATTTTTTACAATATCATATCGACTTTTACTATTTTGACAAAATAACTTGAAAATAAAAAAATCATAATGGTCAAAATATGAAAGTTGAATTGAAATTTAACACTCATGAAAAACTGTTTTCCATTTATTATACAAACCTGGAAATTAACTCTGGACGCGAGGATGGAGAGGAGAGTCGATATGCCATCAACAGACAAGAAGGCAAAGCGGTACTCATCCACACGGAGCATCATCTGGAGACAGCGGGCCACCGACTGGATGTAGTCATTGTTCTGAACAATACGAAATATTTACATAAATATTATATTAAACATAATTTATATTAACATTATTTAAAATGTCAGTCACATTCCAGTTTAAAATCTATTAAAATAATTCAACAATACGATAAAAAAATAAATTAGTAAAAGCAATCATAAATAGAACAAATTTTTAACATGTTAAAATATAGTAGACAAATATCTTTTGAAGCATCATGTAGTACATCTCTGATATAACATGGTTAGTACTAATACATATTGTAAACATATAACAAACATATCCATGAAGATATTTAAATACCATGTTAAAGAGAAAACGTTTATCATCATAAATCTACTGTTCAGTGGAGATTCATGAGTAAGTAAGGATCTTAGAACTTATATATATTAACTATTTTATTAGTGAAGTTTAAAAGTTTAGGAATTAACAAATGTTTTATGTTAACTAACACAAAATGTCTAACAAGTTATAAAAGTAAAAGCACAAATAACCTTGAATAATACTTACCTTAAGTACATTTTTATACAATATTAAACAAATACACCACTAACCTACTATCAAGCAAGAAGCGAAAAACAAGACTTGGTGATTAATGGAAAATTAAATGTAAGCATGCATCATACATAAAGTTAAATGTTAGTCCATTTTAGGGTAATATCAATACAATAATTAGTAAATAATAACATAAAATTAATCACTCGGTTTCATTGTTAAATGTAGACTTTAGACATTCAGATCTTGTGTTCATGTACACAAGATGTACCTTATGTAGACCGGGCAACAATTCCTCATGAGTTTTGGCTTCATCAAAAGAGCTGTAAAGACTCGAATATTTCTCGTGGGCTGCCTCATGGTCCCTCTCCTTGTGCTTGGGCTTATCGGCGGCGAAATGCTGTTTCTCGTGCAGCAACATAACCTGCTCAGCATGCTCTAACTCGGCAGACACTTTCTCCGCCTTACCAGAAAACAAACCTCTCAATCACACAATGCACTCATGTTCACAATGCTCCAACGATGACTTGGTAATGCTGATGCATAATGTATTAAATACAAGTGTCTTCCAAATATAGCATACCATCTTATTTCATTCTTTAGCATAATATATAAATGTTTTATAATCTAGATTAAGTTTGAAATATGCTTAAAACAATAGATTTAAGCTATGTAAACAGTACTAAGGAGAGGTTTAAAACATACAGTCCAATTTCTTACGAAATGTTACATAATCATGATATGAATCCTCAAGAATTCTTTGAAATTGTTTTTATTTAGTTCATACACATGAAAAAATAATAACTGATATAATTAAGAATAACAATAGCATATATAAAAGCATATGTTTAGAATTTCGATCTGATTGATCTGATACCCATATTCATTGTAATCATAAATTCTGTATGTTTTTTGTGAGATTGTATCTATTAATAATAGTTTATGGATGAATTTTTTTTTATAATTATATCTGTAAAATGAATTTAAGAGAAGCAATATTAGAAAATGATTGAAGTAAAATGATATTTAATGACAATATAGAAATATTTTGAAAACATTGCCAAGGCCTTCAATAGGGTTGTCCAAATGATAAAAGAAATAAGAGAGTGATATCTATGTATATGAACATGAATTGATATAGTCTAAACAATGTAAAAAAAACAAGTGTGAAGATTACAGAAATGTCTTAGTAATTTTTAAATCTGAAATTATGTCCTAGCTTGAGCAGGTGCACTGCCCTGTCGCTTAAATTATTATGACTATGATTCAAAGATATATGTTTCTAAATGTTCTAAATGTACTGCAAAATCTAGAAAATATTCTTCCTTTCTAAAAGAGCATCCAAAGCTCAGACTGCTCATGACTGATAAAAAAAAGAAAATTCCTTACATAATGAGCACTTTTATCAATTTCTAAAGTTTATAACAATATTAAGAGCATTCTATGTAGTCAGTTATTTGACACAACAATTCTAGTGTAGATAAAAAATAATGTCTTGATTCTTTTTAAAGTCCTAAAATCTTTATCCAATGAAAGAAGTTCTTTGGAGTGAAAAATACAGCAAAATAAATGAGCAGTTCCATGTTAGTAAAGATTATCTAAACCCATAAACAAATTAATATTTGTCAAGATAAAGATATAAATCAACAAAAAAAAACCCAAATAAAAAATGAAAGATAATCAAACTCTATTCTCATGGAATGTTACAAAATGACAGCCAAGCATTAGTAATTATTGAATAACGAATCAAATATTTGAATCATAAACCATAATTGTAACCATGCAAGGAAATTAGACATGCAAAATACACAGTAATAAAAATTATTCTTACATTCATTTTCAGTTGGTCCTTCAGCCAAGACAGATAGAAATGTAAGTCACTCTTTTCCATGAGACTTGAGTGCCAGCATGCAAGCTTGGCAATAATACGAGCAGTCATATGTTGTACAAATTCATCTTGACGGTTCAACAGGTTTAAGAATGGTTGCCAGACACTACCATGTCTGGATTCACGGAAAATCTTCACCCTCGACTTATCTTCCTATAATTTACAATATTATTACAAAAAAATAATTTTAAACTTTACATATTCATTTTTAAGTTTGACTTGAACATTAAAATACTTACAGATAGAATATCGTCAATTAGGACAAGGATGTACTGGATAGTATTATCCTTGGAGATGTGGGTGATCAGATTGAGGAAGACATCTGCACAGGTTTCGGGGTTTTGGTCTGGCAAATTCTTCTGACCACGCTGGTCTAAATTCACTATATAATCATGATCACGCTGAGTGATCATCTGGGACCTAACATAAGAGAAAAATATTAATATTAAAGATTTTCAATAAAACAAAAATTATACAACTAATCAATACTTACTGCAAGTAAGACTGCCAGTTGATCTGGGTTTGGCGAATTTCACTAGCCCTTATTTGTAACACGCTAGTAGCCGCAATCATATCTGTTTAAATGAATAAATCATGGTAATCTATGGCTTAATTTCACCTTATTTTGCGTTACCCCTTTTTACATGTTACAACTACTTACCGATTTTATCGTCCCCAAGTGTAGGGATAAGTTTGCTAACGTTTTCTACGTTAATGTTAGCCATTTTGGCTATTATAATGCACGAAGAAAAACTTGATAGCAATTTAAAACTTTTTAAATTGGAACTATTTTTTGGAAAAGAGAAAAATTAACAGGGCTGCCTCAGCTGAGAGGTCTTGTGACTATATTACGTGAAGTTTGCCAATACTGAAATGATAAATCATCTTACCTTCTCTAATGTAGACCCTTTTCGCTGAAAATAAAAGAGATAGATATATTATTCTGGTCTGTGGATGACAGCTTCAGATCAGTCTTGCAACATAAGACAAAATGACCAAATGTCAAAGTAAAAGAACATTCAAATTTGGACAAAATTGGAAAATAAGAATCGCTGTAGTTTTGTTAAAAAGTATTTCAAAGTAACAAATATTTCAAGAAAAAATAACTTTTATTATTCAAAAGGAATATTTGAGTGTAATATTCTAAAAAAAAGTCCCTTTAAAATAACACAGGGTCTTTATATTCTTATTCAATTATTCCAAAAAAAGTTTGGCATATCATAGTCACATACCTATAAATAAATTTATCTGCCTTGCAATAAAAAGATTTGGTTAGGATGATTTAAAATTGCGCGGCTTAATCGTTGATCGATACATACTTAACAAAACTTACTTTTTTACAACTTATTTTCAAATAGCACAACTTAATGTCACTGTGCTTATCTACATTTATTGTGTTTATCATAACATAACCTAAATCGTATGCTAGCAGCAAATTGCATCTAGATTTTACTCACGGTTATATCTGTCGCCATCTGGATTTGTCGTTGTTTTCTGGGCCATATTTCCTTAAAATTTTGTAATACCACTGAGACAATAGTGCTGAAATTTTGTTTCCTGCTTCATAATCAATTTTTAGTTAACAACTTCTCTTTTTGTATTACAGATTCATAATTTGCTTTTGGACCCGTGACACATTTCTCTATAAATAAATTTTGGGAACTGGCCAGTTCTTTTGTCTGACTGACTTCTCTATAAACAAAATTAATCTGTCAAAGTATTGACCCGAATATTTCTTTTTAAATGGAAGTCGAGCCGTCGTTACGTTTTCCTTTAGATGGTTCTATGCAAATCATATTTACTGGATACTACAATGGCTTTGGTGTTGAAGTTAGATCTGTTGATGAGATGAACTTGCTGTACAATATGGGATGTTTTGGCAAAGGCACTTCCTCTCGATCTAAGCCAAGGGAATCACAGAATGTTCCTGCTGTGATGAGAAAAAGACAGTTCCTTAAAAGAATGTGTTGGTGCAAAAAGTATGGTGACTCTAAAAAATCTTTAAAGTCTGATACATTTCTTAAAGATGTAAATAAACTAGCTGCTAAAATATTAAGTGATGGTGAAAAACAGTTAAAGAAAGATGTAATAGACCTGGTTTCCAGTGAAGAAAGCGGAGAAGAAGATGACAATTGTGATATGTTTAGCTTGGAAAATTACAACAAAGAGGATTTAGTTGTAATAATACCTAATAGTGATTCAGAAGATGATGATTATTTTGCAAATCTTAAACCGAAGTGTTGTGTTAATAAAATAAAAATCCAAGAGAAGCTTATGTTATCAAAACAAGAGAGTTTTTTCTTACTGTACGGACTTGGTTGTTTGCAAATTTTAAATAACTATGATAATGTTTTGAATATAGAACAGTGCTGGAAACTGTTTCAAGAGGATGATAAATATTTTTTAGAGAAATATGTTGTTTATCATTACTTTAGATCTAAAGGCTATGTTGTAAAGCCCGGTATCAAGTTTGGGGGCGATTTTTGTAAGTTTATAAATGATTTATTTACATAATGCCAATCTACTAATCTTGATCCTAATATAAATGATCTTGAAATATGGTTTCATGAGACACCAGAGTTTTCCCATGATCATGGTAACAAGAATTTCTCCCTATAGTATCTTAGAGGCATGGCACAAAAGTCATTACCATTTTATCTTATCCAGGTTTTGAATAACTTAACTAGAGACTGGGTATAACTTTTTAAAGATTCTGGCATTTCAATGCCAATGGTTGGATTAAAAGCATATTTTTTTTGTTTTATAGTATTATATAAGGAAGGCCCAAGTGTAAATCATGCTGATTTCATTGTTCTAATAAAATATGCTGGTGAGGAATATGACTGGATTTCAATATTTGGACACCTTAGGGTAGCATCAACTACAGTAAAGGTAAGATCTTTAAAATAGGGCCCAGAAAATAATCTTTGTATTTTATTATGTATGTTGATGATCCATGCTATTCTGTTGTGTAGACTTTTACGCAGAGTCTGCCTATATTCTTGTTAAGACTTGTTTGTAATATATATATATGTATATATATAGCCATATTGGAGGAGTATGGGAATGAAAATTGACATGAGGATTTGTACACAAATACTTGAACTTTTATATATATTTTTATAGATATATATCTTATATATAAAATTCTCATGTCAATTTTCATTCCCATACTCCTCCAAAACAGCTAGACCGATTTCTATGAAATTTTGTAAGCATATTGAGTAGGTCTGAGAATCGGCCAACATCTATTTTTAATCCCACGCAGATGGAGACGTGGGCGATAGCTAGCATATATATATATATGTGTAAACTTTTATTTTTTATTTATTGTCCCCAATTAAAATTATCTTATTATATCTTGGTAATATTTTTCAGGAAATATTAATTGTAGAAGTAATTCAACCTAACAAAGAAGAACTACAGCTGCCAAAAGACTTAAAAGAATATAGTGTAAGAGAAGTATTATTGTCAAGAAACAATCCAGTTGCTATAAATGATGAAATTGAATAATTTTGTATTTGTTTGATTTAAATTACACTTAAACATTATTAGGTCTTTCAAACAAAATTCATACATTCTACTGTACAATACTAAGATTTATTTTTTACACCTATTTCAAAGTTTTTTCTCTTTAAATTCTTTTCATTGCTTTCTTGACTCCAGTTCTTCTGTATTCACTTCTTTGATTTAAATATTCTTCAGTACATAACTTTCTAAAGTCTTCATTGTTGTACCAGCTGGCTAAACAAGACTTCATAACTGAATTTTCATCTCTACACTTAACTACCATTAGTAATGATGATTCTTTGCAACACCGATTAAAATCTGCAACTTCCATTAAACATTTTTCTGTTTTGGCTTTTTCTCTCATAAGTTTCGGTATTAACACTTCTGTTTCTACCTTTCTCAATGACCTGTCTTCAGGATCGCCTGTAAAGCACTACAAAATAACTATTTGCCATATAAACAATAAGATCCTAAATGAAAAATCGAAAGCATGTAAGTTACCTAATCCGTGGGGCCCCGCAGAATACTTGTCGGGTAAAACAGTCTTTGTTGATACCATAGCTTAAATCGAAATTATCTTCAATATATGAAAGTTATCTCATTCATATAAAATTGAAAAATCCGAATGCTTTCAACTTTGATTTCATTAAATCAGGTGTCAGTGTCATTTTTCCGATCGGTCAATTGACAAAATAAATGACAAGTCCTTAAAATAAGATTTCGTTTAGGAGTTTTGGAATGTTGTAAAAGTTCTGCTACTTGATGTGGCCAATTGGCTATACAGTTGCTTTATACTTAATGCATTTATGAAAAATTAAAAAAAAAATCTATTATAATTAAAAGGGATTCAAGTCTTAAAGTTAAAAAGTATTTTGTTCTTGCTGTTTTGTCACGTGAGAATTATAGCGATTATAATCATTTTTACATCAAAGTCAAAAGTAGTGTAGAAGCAAATTTATTGATTCTTATTATTTATTAGTTTTTAAACATTTTTTTAGTTAAAAAATATTTAATTAAAATCTTTTTTATTTAAATTGTAACACAATTCATGAGCTTGCATTTTCAACGTAGCTGTCAGAATCACTTTTATATGTCATCTATTCCGCATTCTGTAAGATCTTTTGTATCTTTTTAGAAGTTCGTGAATAGTTTATTATATTAGTGTAGTTCAGTTTTCCATTTTGGAAGTAAATTGTACGTTAAATATTATATGCTATTGGTTTTTGAAGTATAACAGGTTTAATCTTGCGTACTCTCTTGATTAATATCTTGTGATATTTTCTGCTTATTTGGAATTAGAAATTTCGAAGAGACAATGGATCGTCTTCTTCGTCTTGGCGGAGGCATGACGGGGCTATCCCAAGCGCCACCTCCTACCGACGCACCTGCAGTTGATACGGCTGAACAAGTTTATATTTCTTCGTTGGCGCTATTGAAAATGTTAAAACATGGCCGGGCTGGAGTACCAATGGAGGTCATGGGTCTCATGTTAGGTACGGTTAAATTATACTTTTGTATTAAGCAAATGATAAATCTATGTATTATTCTATTGTATTCCAAAAAAGATTGATGCAAAATACCGGTTGAATCAAATTAATCATCATGGTTATTACTTTACATTTAGAGATAATATGATCCAAATTTCGTGAGCTCATGTTTTCACTAAAATTTTGAAATGAACCAATCATCTGTCAACAATACAAATGTAACTTGTTTGACTTGAATTTTAGGCAATAATATATGTGATTGTTATTTCCAGGTGAGTTTGTGGATGACTACACAGTACGTGTGATTGATGTGTTTGCGATGCCTCAGACAGGAACAGGTGTGTCTGTTGAGGCGGTAGATCCCGTTTTCCAAGCTAAAATGTTAGATATGTTGAAGCAAACTGGCCGTCCTGAAATGGTTGTTGGATGGTAAGTGATTTTCTTGAGGCTGTAATACAAACATTGCAATGAATAACTTTCTATCCTTATAACAACTGATCTCAAAACAGTCTGTTTATCTTGTTCTTCTATAAAACAATCACATTTTTCACACCAAAACTTGTATATAAAATACTTGTTTCACAATTTTAGTTACTATACTCTTCCAAAATGGCTTGACCGATTTTAATGTAATTTCATATGTATATTTAGTAGGTCTAAGAACCTGCTACTATCTATTTTTTAAGCCACTGCTAGTTTCTTATAATATTCAAAAATATGAAAAATCATGCCGATACATTAAAAATTTTACAGGTACCATTCACATCCAGGCTTTGGTTGCTGGTTGTCGGGAGTAGATATAAACACTCAGCAGTCATTTGAGGCTCTATCAGAGCGTGCAGTTGCAGTTGTTGTAGACCCCATACAATCCGTGAAGGGTAAAGTGGTCATTGATGCATTCCGTCTTATCAACCCCAACATGATGGTTCTCGGTCAAGAGCCGAGACAGACCACATCAAACTTGGGACATCTCCAGAAGCCATCCGTGCAAGCTCTCATACACGGTCTTAATCGCCATTACTACTCTATTAGTATAAATTACAGAAAAAATGAGCTTGAACAAAAAATGTTGTTAAATTTACACAAAAAGTCATGGATGGACGGTCTTACCCTGCTAGACTACAAAGAACATTGTTCCGTTAATGAGACAACAGTTTCGGAAATGCTAGAGTTAGCTAAGAACTACAACAAGGCTCTAGAAGATGAAGAAAAGATGACACCAGAACAGCTCGCCATCAAAAATGTTGGTAAACAGGACCCTAAGAGGCATTTAGAAGAGAAAGTTGATGTGCTCATGTCAAACAACATTGTGCAGAATCTGGGAGCAATGCTCGATACTATGGTGTTCAAATGATTATTGTCAAATATCGTTTTTAATTGTAAAGTGCTAAGTTGATAATAAAAGTAAAATAAAGGAGTACAGTCTCACAGTAATTTTTATCTAGATTACTTCATTTGTCAAATGTACATTAATTACCATCATTAATTCTCTATTTTACAGATTATGAAATAAAACAAATACCTTTTTTTGTATAAATATTTTATTTATTTTTTTGTTTACAAGAAAAGTCGTCGTGGTGCTATTTGACTGCATATTTTATTTAATCTTTTCTTAATTATTGGGTGGTCCATATTACCAAAATCTGTATCAAACATTGGCTCAAGCTGCTTCTGTGAGTTTACTATATCTTGAACAATTCTCTTCATCTTTTTGAATGCGATATCGGGATTGTCCATTGATATCTATAGATTAAAAAAAAAAACAAAAGACAAACAGTCAGCTAAGTTTTGAATTGAAGAGGTAAATGGATACATCATGAAAAAGTTGGAATTTTATATTTTTAATAAAATAAATCCAATTATATGAGTTTCTAACTTCAAATTTTAAAAAATTTAGTAGCTTTTAATTACAAAAACTCCTATTAAAAATGATATCAAACAACAAATATGGACAATAGCACCAAAGAAACCACACTGAATAATTTTATAAACACTTATTTGACAAAATAAAGAAAGATCAACACGTTCAGTGCTATCGCAAAAATCGTAATGGCATGGAATGTGTTAAACAGCCGCTACAGACAAAGAAAGGAAAAGCTTACAGTGTTCCAAAACAATCCTGGTATTTTCCTATGAATATCTTCATAGTCGTCTCTTATGTTCGTAGTGTAAGATTCCGATGGTATCTAAAGTCAAATTTAAACCTTTAAATAACTCTTTGAAATATTAGTTTTATAGCTGAAATAATGATGTTTACCTTGTGATGTTCTATTTGCTTTATCAAGTAGTCCAATTCATCTTTATTTTCATGACCAATTGTTGATTGGGCTGTAAAAATAATGGGAAGCTTCATTTTCGAACATTCTAGATTATTTAATAAACATTTGTTTGAATTATTTAAACTTTTGAAAAATGCGCTACCAAAATATCTTTTATCCATTTTTTAAACGTGAAAAAATAAAAAAAATACAGACGAATTTATACTTTTTGAAGTCGGCTAAAAACAAGAAAAAAACTAACACGGTTCCAAAGCTATTTCACTAGCTTGCAGAAGACCCGCATCGACTAGGAATGCGAGCCATATGTCAGAGTCATGGGCATCCAACTCTGGATGTAAATACGAACAAATCTTCGTGCTTATCGATCGGCCCGATTTTGCATATTCCGCTGCTGCAGAAGAATATTTATTATGAAAAAAAATAAGAAAAATATACGGTTTAAAACTAAAGTGCTAAAGCAAAATATATAACAGCAGGATTAAAGTAAAAATTAGTTCATAATTGGACCATTACGGTCTATGCCTCGTCAATACGCGAAATACCGTACAAAAGGCATAGATGCGATAATGAAGCTATTTCAGTGGGCCTAGCACGCATATTTGCGACATCATCAATGTATAGTGATCGTCAATTATGTCAAAATTAGTATTTGATTTTTGGGGTACTTTTAGTTCGACAAACCGCCATGCTACACAAATTGTCGATGATGATACGATGGCGACTGTCACAAATATTCGTGCTAGGCCCACTGAATATGAATATGTATATTTAGATAGTAACACTATCTATTGAAAATACTGGTCTACGAATGATTTACTACAAATAAAAAAAAATTACGATCGATATCAGGTTGGGGATCGACCATAAGTCCAGACGCATCTGGCACATGGTCGTCCAAGTCATCGATGTCTTGCGACGTGAATGTAACAGACTTCGAAGATTTTGTGCTACCGTACACCACCGGTACGCATCCTATAAATGCAATTTGTATTTAATAATAATTGTTTTTACTAATTTGTTTAAGTTACTATATATTTTAGCTATACATAAAATCCTTTCTCAAGCGATTTTATTTACAAGTTTGAAAGTTCCCATATTATTTCAATGTACGCCCTCTATAGCTTTAACTTTATTTTGCCCCTTCTATTTTTAATATAATAGATTACCTTTCCAAGTTGATGACGTGTACTTTGTAAAATCCACACTTTTATTAATATTCGACTGCTTATCGCCTTTTTGTGTTGTTCCTCGATGGTCCGACCTTTAATAAAAATTACGTTTGTAAATAATAAAAAAACTAAAATAATTGTGTGTACTTATTTAAGGTATCTGGCCACCTTATATGGAATTCGAAGATTAAAATTAAAGTATACTACACTTATTCTAAACTTCACTTAATAATCTTAATTGGGATTTCATGTCTGCTTAAAGTACCTTTTAGAATTCTTGTCCTGAAAGGAGATCTGTCCGTCTACCTCACTGACGTACTCTCCGGTACCTTGCGACTTGTACAATGAATACATGCTGGCGCCACCTGCCTCGTTATTGGTTTCAGATTTCTTGCCATAGCCTCTAAAAGATGATGAGCTCTGTAATAACAAAATGTCATGTAAAATTTATTGGCGTTTATGTTATTAAAGTGAAAAATTCAACCTTGTACTTCCCATCTTTATAAGGTAGTTGGACTTCTTCCTTTTTGCTTAGTGGTGACCAAAAGTAAGACAACAACTCAATCTATGCTCGTAACCCAGAGGTATAGGTAGAGAGATTTCCATTTTACGCGCTCTTGGTACATTTCTTGCATCTTCTACATTTATACATCCACGCATACATGCTTATTGGTTTTTAATAAACACTGGTTAGTATTTGAGATGAAGGACTTTGATTAATTAATTTAATTCAGGATACCGAATATTACAGGATATTTAAAGTCATTCCATTAGTTAACAATGGATGGGTTCAAGCACTCGTGGTTATATTACTAGGAGACAGTTCAGTAGTCACCACAAGCTGTCATTTGAGCGTAATATATGACCAACTTAAAGATAACGTAGTCAAATAAGAGTAAAAGCGGAGACTAGTTCGCACGGAATATTGAGTTATGTGATACCTAACTACCCGAATGAACTTTTGAAAGGTTTTTTTTAGTAAATCAACCTTTGATAGTATTAAAAAAAATATGATTGGTTGTGTTGAGTTGAATTTAAATAAATCGGCCATGTAGGATAGGACAGGAAAGAGGTAACCTTTCAATTACTATATTAGACAAAACAAAGCTATATACCAACTCTATGTCAAGTCGTCTCTTAACTTGAAATGTACATGAAAGTTTAACAATTTACGTAAAACATACCAATGTCATTGTGCCGAATTTATTTGCACTCTTGTGCCCTTTTTCTTCTCCACGTTTGGTATCACTGTCCATCTTGAGCGAGCATTCTGATGCATATAAAAATTCACTGTGGTCTTTTCCATCCGGCAATGCCTGTAAAACGACGTAGAAGTCACAATCATGAAAATAATTGTTGTTTAAGTAACAAAGTTTTTAGTTAAAAATAAATTACTAAAAGGATTTCATTAAGAATTCCAGTAATTATGATCCGTCCAGATAACAATATTTGTAGTGTTGATATTTCTTGTGGCAGCATCATGGATAGTTTATTCACGTTGACTTCGTTATGGGCTCTGTCAAATGGAATTACGTATTCATCAGATACACGCCAATTTATATATCTTGCGGCGTCAAAAATTTAAGGGTTAATAAATGAATTACTACAGAAAAGCAAAATGCATTGCACAAGTATACTGTGATTGTATGGTCTTTCAACTATGGAAATAAAACCAAGGGTAAAAAGGCATTAGTTTACAGCATCATGGGCGTCGCCAATCGCCAAAAAATTGGACCATATGTTGGAAAGTTTTTCTTTACCAAATATATAGAATGTTTACTACTAGCCCACTTTGTTATCTTCGGCTAGCCCCTAATAATTTTGCAATGAATATTGTATTTTAAAATTAAATGTGTATACTCCTTTCTCTCATGTTGCTTGTGAAACACGTCAGATTTATCTGAACACGATGCTAAAATTAAGTATGGCCGTCGACCTCGAAGTTTCAACATTAAAGCACCAATCAAATCCATTGTCGTAAGACGCACTTTTCCTTTATTTATGTAAGCTTCTTCTCGACCTAAAATTAAAAAAAAATAGTGCTAGTACGTAAAACTTTTTAATCAGCGCTTCTGTATTTATCTTTAGTAATTGTTTACACAAAAATTCTCAATCCATTTTAATTTATAATAATATAATAAACACACACTTTGTTATGTACGATGCCAGCATTTCCAGCATATTTTTGAATTTTTTTTATTATAATATAAAAATCCCTACATTTGCGACTCTCCATAGGCTAAATATTTCCACGCTATTACTTAGGGGTAAATAATTAAAAAAAAATTCTCTGCGAGAATGGGATAAACACTTCAATGTTGCCAGTACTGCAAACAAGAAAGTTGCCATGGTAACGATAATTGTTAGTTAATGGCAAAGGCCTTTGATTGAAAAGTTTTACGCGGTGTGTAAGCAATAATATAAATTTTTCCGTGTAACAAAATTAGCAATAAAAAGATATTAGGAAGGTGTTCGATCTTGCAATAATAGTGCGATAAAACCTACAGCGGGTGGGTGGTTTTAATAATAAAAATATAAAAAAAATTACATCCATTGGGAGACGTAATATTTGTATTCGGTACAGATACACTGTATTTCGTCACATTCAAGGACGTACTATATATTTTGTAATTTCGCAGTTTAATGTAGGCAAGCCGACTCAATTTTTATTTTCACGTACAAGCGGGTAGTTAGAAATCCCTCACCGCAGCGGTCGCGCGCCGGGCCTGCGGGGGAGGCAGTTAGTCGGCAGCTTATAGTTAGCATCGGGAAACAAAGAAAGTTGGACGAAAAACTAAAACATCGGACGTGTGTTTTTCATAGCATACAGTGTCGCTTAAGTTTATGGTTCCGCCTTCGGTTCGACGTAGTCGCGAATATTGCACGTATTCGGTAAAAGGTGCATCGTTCGCATCTGTGGGACAGCGTCGCTAGTGCCTTTAGACTATATGACAGTGACTTGACTGGATTGACACGAACAGAGTGACCACGCAATGCAGGCGGTGAACGAGGCATCGAGTTGGTAAGTGCCACTTCATATATTTACAATAAGTAGTTGCAACATAGTCTAAGGATGGTTGTTCCGCGGAACCCGAATTTTCTTTGTAGAAAACAATTAGATAAACTGGTTTAATTAACGCAGCACATTTCTAATCCCAATAGGATTAAATAAAGATAGAATTATTATTATTATTCATATTTCGCGCAGCTTATTACGTCCCGAACGTGACGGGCCTCCATTGACGTCAAATTATTCCCGCCGAAAATGTCTACTATTGTGCGGTCAAAGTGACATTTGCAAATATTCCCTCTAAATTGGGATTAACTCTTTGTATTCTGTTCTTATTAAATTCTTCGGTTATTTGCATTGAAGTTATTAATACTATGAAAGCGTAAATTATGTGTTTTTGAATAAGACAAATTTCTAATAACACAGATTCATAGAGAAAAGGAAAATAGAGAAAATTAAGATAATAAACATATAAACGTTACTTAGCCCATATGATTCTCCATCTTTTTCGCTGTATGTCAGGAAGTCTCCAGCAATAATCATATCATCGAACTTTTTCCTTGTCACAATTATGTAATGGTCGGAAAAGTGATGTGTAGCTGTCGTGTGTTGTCTTCCTATTTCTATGTTAGAGCTGCATTCTTTAGCGAGACGTCGTGCTAGAGTACCTGGGATAAAATAATCGATTAATGAAATTAATGGACGCAAAAACTTAGCGCCCTGTTAAAGATTACTTTTTGTGTAAAATTTATTTGATGAAGGTTTTCTTTATGAATTTAAATTTAAAAAAAATTTCAAAGACGCATATTATCAAAAAAAGTAAGGTATACGCAAAAGACAAAGAATTTCATCGTTAATCTGACTGTGTCTGTTTGGTATCTCTCTCTCTCTCCAGTCGTATGACGTCCACTGTTGTGCATAGACCTCCCCAAAGATCACCATTGGTATAGTTCGATTAAATAGGTTCATTTGTTTTGTGATAATTTATGCTAAGCTTGTTGGGGATCGCTAGTATACCTTTGCCAACAGCATCGTAGCCCACAATGACGACCAGAGGAACATCCGTGGTGTCAGCCGGAGGCGTAAAAGGCGACACTTTCGCTTTAGATAGCTGCTCGATATATAACAACCGTAGTAAACGACGAGACGCGAATATTCTCACGTCAGTCATCATTTGCATTTTAGAATATTGCTATAAATTATTAATATATTATTCAATAACTTTGCAAACATTTAGTTGACAATAAATTTTAATTCAGTTCTAGTAAATATATGTTAACCAACCCGCACTTGGCCAGCGTGGTTGACTATGGCCTAATCACCCTTAAATTAGGGTAGGCTCCGAATCCCTCGGTGGGGACGTATAGTGAGCTGATGATGAAATATATGTTAGTAAATGTTACCTGCTTAACAGGGTCGATGGCTTCACCATCGAGATTGATGAGAAGTGGGAATGTTATGTATATGACGTCCTTGTAACCAGGAGTCGAGCACACGGGGTTAGAGCGCAGGTCAAGTATGGTTAGGCGGCGCATTTGCCGGAGGTAAACCGCCAACTCCAGGAGAACACCGAGTCTATAATTTTTTAATGATTTCAATTATGGCCAGACTTCACCCTAAAATTAACTTCATAATAGTCGTGTTTCCGCTGCATTAATATGGGGATGTCAAGGAGAGCCATCTTGGTTTTAGTGGGTCAAGTGTCACGTAACACTGATTTTCCTTTAGAGTGCATGGCATCTTTTAATGATTTGCCCCCCGATACTAAGAAAAGATTCAGCACAGTCGAATATTGAATTCGAATCGAGGACAAATGAAGAGTGGAAACAATGTAAATGGAACAATTACCATGGTTTTATTTACCTGTTATTCCGCGCGTACAATTCATGCAATCTGTTCGTTGGAAAAACAATTAGATTAATTAAAGTTTTAACATTTGTTTTAATTAAAAAGTAATTTTGATTAATTTTATAATGTTTAGTGATGTGAAATGGGTATCTTTTTAACGTATTTTGTAAAATTGTATACTGTATTTGAACACATTTATTTTAATATATATTAAGCTACGTAGTATAGTAGTACTGAAAGCCATCACCTTCGTAAATTCCCCAAAAGAAAATTGATTTGATCTAATTTAAGTAAAAGCACTCTTCGTAAATCATTTAGAGTGCCTATCGTGGGGCTTTTGCCGCGTATATTTTTTTACCGAAAAATCTTTAATTTGATAACCTCAACATATTTTAAATACGTATAACACATTTTTCTATAATCAAGTACCATTCTATGCTGTGATACATGACTGGTCTTTAAATGATTATTTATAACCTAAAAATACAGAAACCTGGTACATCCCGAAAACATCTTCATGCATATCAGATTGTTTTCGCTTATATTCAAATATTTAAGATCTAAAAGTGTCCATAGACCCGTGTTTTGGCTGAACTCAAAACTCGATATATTATTGTAAGACAGATCCAACCACAACAATCTGAGGTGGTTCAGATTTTCAAGTCTCTGTATGTGGTTAAAGGATAGGTCGAGATGACGTAAATATCTGGAATAAAACATTTAAGATTTAAGTTAATTGATATTGTTTTTGATCCGAGTCACGTTTGACTTTGATCTCTGATTGTAATTTTGTCTTACGGGCTCCAGTATTTTTTAGCTCAATCGATTATAGTAAAATCAAAAATATTAAATCAAAATGTGCAATAATTTCACAGCTATTACACACAGTGGAACGTATGGCACTTTGTGACGTGCACGGACGATTGCGAACGCTAGCGGAAATTGGCAACGAGTTACTGTAGAAAATTTAGCCATTTTGTAAAGGAAATCGACATATCTTCTATATTCGTATTGCATATACTCTTACCGCGAGCTTCTGAGACCAAAATTTCTGTATAAAACATATCGTCCACCCTTTCTTTGGTCTTTGACAAAACTGGAATAACGTGTTTTAAACGGCGATTTTCGTCTCGGAAACACGCGGTTAAGAATTTATTATTGACATTACAAAAGATGTTCAAAGTGCTAGACATTGTTCAGTAAAATCAGTACTAGAACAGTAAACCCTCAGTTTCAATTTCTGTACTAATGTTACTTAAATCATACCTTAAATTTTCAAATCCACTGATACGTTTTATGTTATTATGCGACAAGTCCAAGACAGTGATCGACCAAAATTCACTCAAATCTCTTATTCTTATTATAGAATTATATTTATAATGTACTTCAGTTAAAAACCATTGCGCTGTAAATAAAATTAACGTTTGACTTATAAGTTTCTTTTAGGCTCTGATACTATCCTCATCTGTTTCCTTTAATTTCAAACTCACAAGATATGAACACTGCAGCTGAATCTTGTCTATATTTAGCGAAATGCGGGCACACAATCGTAACTACTTAAAGTAAACTTACGAGTTTCATAGTTAAGAACAGTATTCAGTCTGTTGAAAGATACGGAGAGATACTGCAGATATGGCAAGTAAGATAAAACAGAGAGATCCGTTAAGAAGTTTGACGACAGATCGAGGTATACCAAAAACTTATATTGTTTGAGTATATCGATGTTAGTTAGAGTCTGAAACAAAATACACGTGTTTCGTTATTGGTTTCTTTGTCTACTCTTTGATCATATACAAAGACTAACAAGCTTGTTAAAGTGATTAAAACTTTGTCATAGTTAGTAAGTTTTTTGTTTTATATTTATCAATCCTTTTTTACGTTTGCACGCATTTTTTTACATATACAGTTAACAATGCTGTAATTTGCTCTAGATTATCTTTAGATTTTTATACGATACTAGCTGTCGCACGCGACTCCGTCCGCGCGGGATGAAAAATAGATGTTGGCCGATTCTCAGACCTACTCAATATGTTCACAAAATTTCATGAGAATCGGTCAAGCCGTTTCGGAGGAGTATGGGAACGAAAATTGTGACACGAGAATTTTATTATACGATATTTCATTTTTCTGTACTGCGTAACGCATGCGGCATATTTATGTTGAATCAGATCATATGTTATTGTGTCTTTAACGAAGTATACCTTTGATGAAAGATCAAGTTTTATGAATACATAGTCCCCCAATAATGGTATTCGCTTTAAATAGCTGAGGCATGCCCCCACTAATTCGTGCGTCAGTACGCCTCCGGGGACTTCAGGCACGTCCTCAGGTTTCTTTACACGCACCACGGGTGAATAGACGTCTGAATATAATTCGGAGAACGGATAAAAACATCCCCATAATTGGTCTTCATTCATCAAATTCGTTACGTGTGGAAAGAACTGAAATTACAAGATGAGATGATCTTATTTTTGCTACGTACTTTTTTTCATTTTAGTGTACACCCTTGGTTTTTAAATATTGATTTCTATATTTAAACTAAGAGAAATAAAAAAAGCAGCAAAACATGACTTCTACGAAATTATTTTTAAACGTCTTTTAATTTACTAAATTTTCATATATATTTAAAGGTGTTCAGTCAAGTATTGAACAAAATTGCTACACAATGTAAAGTTTGAAAGAACGAAGTTTACCTGCTCTTGGAGCATATCTTCTACTTGTTTAGTCTGAGGAGGAACTGATGCTTGTGAAGGTGTTCTATTTCCAAACATAAGATCATTGCGAACTTTGATACTTTCCTCTGAAAACAAATTTTAGATCGTTGATATGCGACGTCAATTGCACATTAAGTTTGTTAATAATTTGAGAATGTTTGTAACAGTTGTTCTACTCCTTATCAACGATGTATCCATTGATATAGATTGCATAAGTGTTTAATAATATCACTAAAAGGCTTCATATTACTGTCAATTTCCACTGTCTACTTCCGAAATTCCAAAGTTACAAGACTAACCGTTGTTTTCTGATACCAAAATCTCTGTATAAAACATATCGTCATCCCTGTCATTATCTTTGACGAAACAGAGATAACAATATGTTTTAAACGATGATTTTCCATTTGGAAACTCACGGTAATCAGTGCACGTCTAGCCACTAAAGGCCAA